TTCGTGTATATTCAAATGACATAATGTCCCAAAACGTCGTTTTTACAGTTTTTAGTAAAAACATGATTCGATTGAATGGTTAACTATTGAGATCAATTATCCTTATATCAAAGTGAACGCTCGAATGTGTTAGGGGCTGGATTTGTACACTTTTCGTAGCGTTACTGGTTATTATCTCTTATTTTAAAGGGCAGTTTAAGTTTTAATTGCAGACTCTAGGGCGGAAGCGTTTCCAAGGACGATACAAGGTGAGCAGAAAAAAGTGTGTTTACCTGTTGTCAAATGACATTCCTTAACCCGAGAACGCGGGACGTAAGAACGCAATAAACTAAACATTAGCTAAGCGTCCCAAGTAACCATGCAGCTTTTAAATCAATCTTATTAAAACGCTCTATATCAATATACACCTGGCTTCAATGTGTCTTAAACATGTTATTGTTAATGGAATGATTTTTAAAAGATTTCTCACAACGACATCGCGTTAGCTGCCTTACCCTCTATTTATGGTCGCAAATTGAAACAGGACAAAAAACTGGTTTCGTTCGTTCTGGAATGCGACCCTATAGAGCGGGTCCAGCATGTAAGAGGTAATGAAAAATTGTTAATTAAAAAACCTGTCACAACTGTGCCACACGGTAAGCAGGGACTCCACGCAGTGACGTGACTGAGATAAAGCAAAAATGATTCAATCGCAGATCGCCGTTCTTACCGTAATCTTTGATCGGGAAAACGGTATTGACTTTTCACGTGATATTGTTTGTTTCTTTTCTCCCCCCAGTTAGATTAAACAGGATAATATTGATGTATTGTTGCGGTTAAGGTGGTAGTCGAGCTCTAACAATAACATTCCTCCAATGCCTGGTATCTAGCCCCCCTGACCCCGTCTACCACGTAGACTGTTGTTCCAGTGCTGTTCTACCTCCCTACGCTACACCTCTAACTACCAACACATAGAAGTTCGGGAAGTAATTTTCTTGTTTGTCAAACAAAAACTGTTTCACCTGCCACAAATTGGATTAGGGATTAAGAATTCTCTGCAAATTAAAAAAGAAAAAAAGAGAAAAAGTCGCTGAGGTTAGGCAATGGGTGGGTGGGTGAGGGGAGGGTATTGGAATAATTCTCATGGTACTTGCCGGGTATGTTGAAAGTTCTAGGTGGGAACGCAGTGGGTGTGGCCTTAGAAATGAAGAAAATTCAAGGAAAGCCAAAAAGGGCGGACACACTTTGAAAAGATTTCTAGGTGATAAAAAGGATAACACCTCACTGCTGCTTGATTAAATAGGAAACAGACTTCTGCACTAAGACTCTATTTTTATAAATATTGTAAGGTACCACTGCGCCATGCTTTCCTATTAACTTGAGCACAACCACTTTGTGGCTTTTAAGAATGAAAATATCGGCTATTCAGGTGGTTGATAGTATGCTACATTAGGTCTGAATGCTATAATTTATTACTTCTCTGAAGTTTCGAGTACCTAGCTTTTTACCTGTGGATAAAAAACGCGCTGAGAGTTTAATTGCAGAAGTGGTACGGTGGCCCCAGACATTCCGATCATTCAAACGCTGAATGTGCCCCGTTCACGGTTCACTTTCCCCCATACCCAGCTTGATGGGAGCATTGATGTTCACTTGAGGATGTCGAGAAAGAGGCCAATAAGTTCAAAAGTAGTTGATGCCACCGAATACCAAAAAAGGTAGAAGTATTTGATTTAGAGACGCCCTCTCTGCTACCTATCGCCTCACTAATCTGGCCCCCCTTCCTTCCTTTGGGGAGCGGCAACAAAACACCCCCTCCCCTCGCTTGCCCTCTCACACCTGGCCCTTGATTTTTAAAAAAGGCTTTAGATTAAAAGCGGGTTTTAACTTTTAGACCAATATTTTAATCGACTTCAAGATAAACATGCAGAAATTTGCTTAAAAAACTACCAGTCAAAATATGGATAATATCTTTCTCATTATTCAACAGGCACACTGGACTAATTCTAATTCATCCAGGTTCGAAGAAGACTGAAAGTTTTGCCTAAAAGTACAGATATACTTTTCGACTAAAGTTCTTTGATAAAACATGGCCTGTACCTGCCCTGTGTTTGGACTAACCCCAATGCCCCGCGCGCAATTATTTTCACTTGGATGTACACCTCAAACCGCAGAGTTCAACCCAGAAAAAGAGATTTCTAAAGATGGTAAACATCTTTTGAATATTTCGTCCATTATAAACGTTGATCGTAATTTCGATATTATTTCATTGATACCTTTGCATTGGTTATGACGTCATGAATGGAGCTCACTCTCGAATCTCATTGATCAAATCTTATTTCAGTTTGTTTTGAACTAAAAAATATTGAAAAATAAACAAATGTATTTTGAAGATAAGGTGGTTGGAATGTAGCCACCTGCGCTCAATCCCGCTTCATTCACTATGCTGTTTATCAGTTTTTGGAGTGAAAAAAATATGTCAACCAGACAAACACACGTAATAAGATACGTCATAGGCAATTCCAAAATGTGATGAAATGATAAAAGCGATTCCTTTATGTAGGAAACTTTTTGTTTTGACTCTTTTAAATGCAATAAGACCACCAAAGGGTGATTTCTATTGACGACACAAATTTGGCATCTGTGACACTAGGCCTACACACATAGGCAACGTATGCTAAATATAAAACGCCAAAATTATATTTTATAGAAAAAGAATCAGTACATAGTTAAAGAAAGATATTAACTAATAGAGCTATCATCTTGTTTGTTAGTTTAATACATGGCCTGATGCAAACAGTCAAAAGAGCGAGGATTTGACTTGAAATAAGGCAATAGTGGAACATGAAGCAACAAAAACCTAGAAAAATTATCTCAGAGAAAAGCAGCATCAAGGTCGTGTGCTGTGTCTAGAAAACTGACATCGATATTAAGTATTAAACTCGAACCCAAATAGACATGACCCCTTCGTACCACGGCCCCTGCAATACATTGAGAAGCCCCCTCCCATGACCGTTGTCGTCTGCCCTGTGACGTCATACAGACCCGCAACTTGTGATCACAGCCATGAAATAGACCAGCTTTCATCTTTGAGCAATCATTTTTGTAAATTTTCTCACCTCCTGCTCTCTTTTTGGCGACAGGCGTCAATTATTCTTTCACAATGCCGGTTGATAATAGGGGTAGGGTAAACTACAGGACGACAGGGGTCACATCCGCAAAATGTCGTCCTTTATCTGAGTGGAATTTTCGTAACTTTTTTTACATGTTTGGACATATGATAGCTGTAAATAAGCCCTTGTTTGTATTCAGTGCTTGTCGCAGTGAAGTCGATAGGGTTTTATTATTAAACAACAATCATTTTGAGAGGTATTATCGTTATTAAAACTGATATCAGTTTGTCTGATGACTGACTTATCAGACTCCTAAAATGTCAACGATACTGTGTCAATTTATCAAATAGAATAAAAAGTCAATGATTTGGGTATCAGGAAATTTGGGAAGGTCCCATTTAAAGACTTCATTGTTCATTATATAAATACTTTTGCTATTTACGTTCGCAAACGTTGGTTCGAAATGGAATGAAACCAGCTTGGGACAGTTTAAGTTATTTTGAACTTATGTTAACTTTGGGTTACGTTAGCTATCATATTATATGGGTAGTATCTACCTTGGCGGCTCTGCAGCACGGAGACCAATGAGTCGCGGTCCATCAAAGAAAACTGTCCAACTCTTTGATGTTGCCGCTTACTGTAGGAAGTTCCTTAAGGGCAATGGGGAATTCGACAATAATAAAAACCTTATTTCACATTTGTTTTACCTTGCAATTGTTAGCAGGTATTTTAAGAGTAGCTGGGGTGGAGTAGTGTTATCTTAGAGGGTATGGCGATAAGAATGGGATTAATGCCTTCAGCTTGGAGAGCACCAAGAAAACGAAATCCACTTCAAAGATGTCGTTTTGCAACGGTGTCGTAATTGTTTCCAAAGTTTAACGTCAATACATCAGTTTTTTTCCATTAGGCCAATGGCTTACAATTTTACAAATATCTTAAGTGACGCACGTTGTTTTGAATATCCAAGAGATAAACAAAGACATGTTGAACTGCTGGTGTAAATCATCGACAAGAGAAAGTATTGGGAAAACATTTTAAAGTTTACTTTTTTATTTGTGTGCTTGTTCATCTGTTTTGTACTTTGTTTGAGTGGCCATTTATTTCCTGAGCAACTTCCTGTGTTTATAAGGACAGCAAATGAGTATTTACGCATTTCCCAAGAAACTACAGTCGCCAAAGTGTATCAATTAGGAAAAGGAGTGTTCTATCAAATATCACTTCTAAATGGTTGAACGAGAGAGATGACAATCTTTAACAATGGTGATCTCACTGCAATCAGATCACCAAACAGTCAATTTGTGTATTACGTCAGAGGTACACCCCATCTAGCAAGGGCGACAAAACGTTACCGGCTGCGACAACTCTGATTGACCTGCTGGCTATTACGTCACATGGGGAAGATTGCGTCCTTCTAAAGACGCGTCAGTTCCACCAAGTTTCCAACTAACACCGTGACTAGTGTAACAGATATTTTCACTTTTTAGGACTCCATATCATGGAAAATGCGTTGTTTCACAGTATTCCACTTCTTTATTCAACAATGGGAGGGTGAAGTAATATGGTAGTAAAGCCCATATTGCGTGTCGTTTATTAGCAGGATGCGTAATGTATGACGTAACGATCTTCATGGAATGGAGGTAGTTTTGTTGTTCAATCCAAAGAACCAAGTATATCTTTATGTAACGGGGAAATATATTATTTCAGTTTTTATAAAAATTTGAATAGATTAAGTAGGTACACGCATTCTGCTCGCTATTTATGGCAGATTTAGGTCCCCCCAAGAATGAAGGGATAGAATAGAAAAGAAATAAATGAATTCACAGAATTAAAGAAAATAAACAAAAAATGTGAAGCTATATACGATAAATAAATAAATAAATAAATAAATAAATAAATAAATAAATATCTTACCTTTCTGCCGGCCCTGTTATTATGTAAGTTCATAAGTGACCTTGCATCTCCTTCTATTTCCCGAGCGTCCACAAACAATCGGGCAAACTTGAGACCGTATTTTATATCTGCGCTGCACCCTCCCCATTTCCATCCCTGGGGAGAGAACCGACCGTCCATCTTCCGCCTGTCACAGCCACAGCTTGTCATGTTGCCTTGACTACACGCCTGCGTGATGGCGTAAGCGACGCCAGCGGCGCTGATGGCGTAGGCGTAAGCGGCCTCGCGGCTGCCTGGAATCAAAATAAAAAAGTAAATGTATTGAGGATATATCTACAATTCATTCATAGAAATATTTCAAATCAAGATAATCAGTTTTAAGCAAAAGTTAAGTGCATGAATGATATTTGGATACAGTAAAGGAAAGTATAAGTGCAAGCAAGTGCCCATAAGCGAAATATGCCATCAAGACAATTGTGCCCATTGGAATCAAAATATCAATAATGAAAATGAGATATAACATTAAAAAAGACACATTCAGTAAGAAAAGAGTGGTTAAAACATATCAAGCTAGCCTAGATAGAATATTTGCCCAAAGTAAACATAACTTTTTCATTATTTGCCATGGAAAATGACAGATGCAGGGTCTATACGGAAGAAAGGTGCATATAAAATGGCCCCAAACAATGATTTACATAATTATTAATTAAACAAAATATATTTTTATTATATGCAAGAGGACTTCAACTACATATTGAAAAGTATATCGGAATGTGAATAAAAATGATGAAAAAATAAAAGCTGTGTAGATGGGCTCACACAAGACAAAAAATACACCTTCAAATATTATTTCGTAATTGATCTCTACGTTAAGGTAGATATGGACAGAGGTGAGTTATCCGAGCACTGTAAGGGATGAAAAACGACTTGTTTATTCCAAGTCCCTCTCAAAGACCACCAACGTAGTGCCTTTGGGGTGTTTTATGCAATAGTAGCAACAAACAAACGACAGCCCAGTGGTATCCATGCATCATCCCATTCTAAAAGATGGAGTGTCAGGCAGATCCCAACTATTTTAATCGCGTTGTAAAGACACGCGCGGAGACGCAGGACGCAGAGGAGGTACTTATCGAACTTTAATTGCATCAACCAGTAATCTTAATTGTCATTTTTATTCCAGGCCGCCATCTCCATTCCGGACAAATAACAATCATCATTTGATATTCTGTTCTCAGATTTTAATCTTCAAGCGCCCTTTCTTTGCCGTATTAGCATAATTCTTCCGTCCGCGCGACTTTGGAGACGTTTGCCGTGATTAATTTTTTCGACGCTCTCTAATTATGCCACATAAAAGAGAAGATAATGAAACGGTTGCAGCATCCGGGGAGCGTTAGGAAGCGATATGTCACCGGAGCTATGTGGAAACGACTGACCACTACTGACCCCTGCCCATGGGGAGTAGACAGCTGAAACCTAGAAAACTTCGAACTCCAGAGAGAGACTTTTAATCTCAACGTCCGTAGAACTAGAATGAACCTCTTTCACTCCATCTGGAGGACGGTTTCCCCAAAGGAGAAATTACTCAAACTTGAAGCAGATACCATAATTAAAAATATGCAGATGGGTAAAATCCTGTCAACATTGTAACTTACTATAGTTTTACTTAATGAAGGCAAGTTTCAAAATTAACATTCGACCCATTGTTGTTTTGGTAAAACATTTTTTTTTATCCCAATATGCGCAAGCTAGCGTTCCTTCCTCTGACATTAGTTGGCGTTATTTCCCTATCGAACATCAATGAAGAAATTAAAAAAAAAAAAAAAAGGGATTTTATGTCCCACAAATGCATTTTCAGAAACAACGCCATTTGTAAAATTTTAAACGCATTGTCAAACGAGCATTTTCGGCAGGGGTTACATTCACTACAGCTGCTGGGTATACTGTACGTTCCATACACATTTTAGAATTTGGCGACAACAGGAAAAATTAAAAGCCAAAGAAACAAAGGAAGACGGATAAAATACGGGACATCGTCAAAGGATAGGCACCCCATAAAACAGCTTCTCAAACTGGGGACAGACAAAGATGGAGGACCCTAATCGCCTCCGCCAGTCACTTGACGATGACACTGTAGTATCTCCAAGTCGACTCTCTCGTTTCTGCCTGGGTACACACCCCGGCTAATATCTCCTGAAGTCCATACACCCAACACAAAAACGACAATCAACAGCGCAATAAAGCCACACAAAGCCCGGACCTCTTCCACTGCGGTAACCTAATCTAACACGGTAGCGACTACACCATGTCACCGGCCCGGTGAATGCATATAAACGTATTATTTCGATATGGGCCTTCTGTGCGAACATCGAATCGTCTTGTCGCGTCAGATTAGACGCTAGAGATGGTGTCCTAGTAAACTTCGCAAGGAGACAAAGAAAGGACGAGATAACGCACTTACCGGGGTCCCTGTTGTGAGGGAAGTTCAGCCCATTGAAGTGTTTTTTTTTTAGATTGGATTGGGGCACAATGATATGTTGGATTATAAGAATGTCTGAGAGAGAGAGAGAGAGAGAGAGAGAGAGAGAGAGAAAGGGAGAGAGGGAGGGAGGGAGGGGGAGAGAGAGATTAAGCCGATCTTAGCAATGAATTTCGAAATAAAGAAGGAGCAGGTGTTTGACCAAATCTCAAGACTGGACGACACAGTTATTCTTTCAAATACAAGCAATATTTACTAGGAAAGAAAAAACTACGCAAGCCTTCGCAACATCGAAAAGAGTTTAGAACTCACTTCTCGATTCGTTTTTAGAAATATACACACACAAAGAAAGGTACAGCACATATATGAATGAGTTGGTCTCATTGACTCGAACTTTATACCGACCTAAGAATATATCAAACTTGAACCTATGTCTCTTATATATATATTTGAGGATGTTTCAGCTGTCCCTCAGCAACGCAGGTCATATTTTAGACGTTAACTCTATGTACATAAACCAAGTGAACGCAAGCTTCACGTTTTAACTTCGTTGACACAATATCTTATAACCCGTATAAATGTTTTAAGTTGCTAAAGCAAAGAAAACGATCTTGTGTACTGGTTGCATTGTACCGTAAAGAATGTCATAAAACGCAGATTTTCCTATTAATATCTTACCTCTCTCCACCTGTACTACAACGCCAGGGGGTGAAGGCACGCGAAGGCCAGCAGGGTTATCTAAGCGTTATCTTAAGTACAAAACGTTTTTCGGTCGAAGCCTCGGGCCACGGCTCTTAGCTTTACCGTTGTCAACTTTCCTCTTTTATTGCTATACTTTTTGGGGGGTATGAATACATGTTATTTTGAGGTATTCACCTGTTGTCAGTCAACATCATAAACGGCGGTAAATCTTATTTAAAGTAACATGACGTGAACTATTCTTATTTTGTCTCTTTTCCTATTTCTGTATTCACTCCCTCCTCTCTTTTTCTCCTTCTCATTTGTTTAACTGATGTAATTACTTGACGCTGTCAAATGACTAGAAGTTTGCCATCATGATCAGTTCACAATTTTAACACCTGGTTACGTTTCAAGCGTGACAAAAGTATGTAGTATTAAAGTCGAACGTTGTTCCTTGAAAAAAAGAAATGAGAAATCTTTTGATGCTTTTAGTTTTCTTATTTTGTGGTACTTTGAAAAATTGTCACAATACAACCCGAGCTACTTGGCAAAAGCATACACTACTACAATGACACCAAATGAAAAAACCAACAACAACAATTTATCTGAATAAACGACATATTCTTTGTCATGTGAGATAAATTGACTGATCCCTTGATAAAACTTGATAAATTTTAGAACTGACACCTTGCAACATAATTTTTATACTAGAGTTACATATAAACAAGATCCTCACCCCTGTCAATCCTCCAAATAGAGAGATAGTAAGGTGGGGACCATGTCAACCACGTAAATAACAACGATTATGTGCAGCTTGTGGTCACCCAGCGAAACACTGTGCTTAGTCACCAGTAATTTGTACATTGCAGGAATATTCGTACTCTTGCACCATGTACGTTTTTAAGGTAGTCACCCAGCGCCTCCCCTCAAAACTCCCTCTCTCTGGAATACAACTTTTGAGATATGTATACTGTCTTTAACACCTGTAACACCTGAATCTCCTGTGGACGGCCGCATTCATTTTCCTCACAGCTTTTATCATTCAATATCCGTTTCTTATTTTACAATTCACACACACACACACACACACACACACACACACACATTGAAAACAGGAATGTGACATACATTATCTTTTATCGGACTGTAAGTTCTTTTTTTTACTCGACAGCAATACTGAGTAATTGTAAATTCTCTTTTGATTGGACAATGATTTTCAGTATTTAATGGCATAACACCATTTTCTCTCAGATGAAATAAGATAGTAAAATGTATTCCCTCCCCCATTCCCCTAGTGTATGAAATACGAAATCTCTTTGCACGTAGAATTAGCCTTCAGTTATGCGTATTGCAACGATCATAAAAATGAACAAAGAAAACTTCAGCGTTTCAACCTTAAACGTGAACGTTTGAAATATAGACTGAATTAGCTTCATCATCCTTCACATTAATCAAAGGCTGAGTGTCACCCTATCCACTAATATACTGCTGCGAGACGCGGACCTGAAAAGATTCTTTTCTAAACTAAGTATTCAGTATGGAATGCCACCAAAACCCAACTGCCTTATTTTTCTTCCTGACGTGAAATGAACATAATACAGGTGAGGTTCATATTTTATCGGGCAGTTAACACGGCTGGAATGCCGTGTGGGGTGATTTAAACGAGAACGCGGGCACCTGTCGATTACCGAGGCTTCTTTATGGGATGTTTTTTGCTTGTTAATTACCTGTGTTTTTGCTGGAAAACAGTCAGCACTGTGTCACAGATGACGTGTGTTTAGTATCTATTGGTATAATAAATAAAATCATGTTTCTACATTTGGGTCTTCCGGGATAAGCTATCAAGCCAAGTTTTCTTGTATTTCTGTATTGAGTTCAAATACATCATACGATAATGAAATCCACTTGAAATTGAGCTCAATAATTAACAAGCCTTTTCTACTTACTATCAACCTACGTGTCTGTTTTCTTTGCCCAACATGACTTTAACGGGCTCAACGTTAGAAAGCAAAAACTCTAAAAACAAAAACAGGAAGATGTTGGCGGGCTAATGAAAAATACTTGTTTTTTATTTACATACGATTAGAAATGCTTTTTCTTATGGCATAAAAAAACGACTCCGAGATTTCAAAGCAG